AAACCTGATTGACGAGTTTTCCGGCATTTCATGGGTCAATACAAGTGGACCAAGGTATTTCTTAAAGAGAGACAACACATTATTGGCATGAGACACAAAACCTCGAGGATCACACTTCATTATGACTAAAAAATCATCAACAAATCGAAACACTTTCTTCGCTGCAGTGCTCACTAATTCTTGATTAACGGCCCTGTCCATTTTCGCCAACAACAAATCACTCAAAATAAGGAGGGAGGTTTCGCAGTGCTTACAAAAAGGCAGTATTTTGAAAAAGCGCAGTCCGCCATTAGTACCGTGTTCGATACGTTCACCGGCATCGATTTGCGAAAAGTGAAGGCAAGAGCAAAGGACCTGTGCCGAGAACTCAATTTAGAAGGCTTAGTGAAAAAGTTCGATAGGTGCGATAAACTTTCGTTGAACTTATTCTTTTCAGCTAAGACACATAAGCCTGATGTACCTTTTAGAGTTATAGTATCTGAGTGTGGTTCCTGGCAAAAGAATGTAGGCGTGTTTTTGCAAGATAAGATGAAGCTTTTCACCATTAATGACCCATTTTTAATTAAGAAGTCGGATGAAGTTATCGAATTTTTCCGACAAGAGTTTAACACAGGTCTCATGGCATTCTCAATAGATGTTAAAGATCTTTACTATTCTTTACCTCATGATGCGTTGCTCACTTGTATTGAAGAATGCATTGACCAATTCGGTGGAGTGTCATTTCAGAACAGCACAGGAATGAGTGCGCGTGGTTTTTTAGACTTATTGGGCATGTATCTCAACTCCACATATGTAGAGTGGAATGACAACGTGTATCTTCAGAAACAGGGCGTGTCGATTGGGTCGTGTCTGGCCCCAATTTTGAGTGATTTGTTGTTGGCGAAAATGGACAGGGCCGTTAATCAAGAATTAGTGAGCACTGCAGCGAAGAAAGTGTTTCGATTTGTTGATGATTTTTTAGTCATAATGAAGTGTGATCCTCGAGGTTTTGTGTCTCATGCCAATAATGTGTTGTCTCTCTTTAAGAAATACCTTGGTCCACTTGTATTGACCCATGAAATGCCGGAAAACTCGTCAATCAGGTTTTTGGATCTCAGGCTTACGTTTAGGGCTGAACATACCTGCTGGGAATTCCAGCCACGCGCGGGGAAACCGCTTCTGCCGTACACGTCGGCTCATAGCAAACTTGTAAAAAGAGGCATAGTGAGTACGTGTTTCACTAATGCACTTGACCGGTCCTGTATGCATTCAATGGAGGCCAGCTTCCACAATCAGGTGGCTAGGCTTAAGTCAGCAGGGTATCCTGAGGCGGTCTTGGTGTCCGTGGCCGAAAGTATCCGTAGAAAACGGAGAGCTAAAGATGGCCAGGGACATGGTGCAGTAGGACGTGACAACAGGACCCACGAAAAAGAAAGAGAAAGAGTAGCTGTTGTCCCTTACATGCATCAGGTTACCCACCGCCTGAAAAAGGTGGGGCAGCGCATGGGAGTGCGTGTAGTTTCCTCTGCACCACACAAGCTTTCTCAGCTGGCTAGACTGACATGTGGCGCTAGACACAGGGAACAGCGGTGTAAAACAAAGCACAGGAACCGTTTTGTCAACTGCATTAGTGACGTAGTTTACATGATCATACTTTCGTGCGGTGCCTGTTATATTGGGCAAACTGGAAGATGCCTCAACGACAGGTTGCGTGAGCATGCGTGCAATGTTCGTAGCGGCAATGATGGTTATCTTGCCCAGCATGTCACTAGATGTGGCTGTGAAGTACAATTTGATAAGACAGTAGTTCTCCAAAAGCACAAAGATGAGCGCACAAGGCTTATAATTGAAGCAGCACACATAGCGGAACACGGGGCTTGCGTCAGCAAACCATCAATCGCTTTGTCCGATAAGGAGCTAGCGTTTTTAAACATTAGCAGATGCCGTAGAAGTTAACTAATCAATGTAAAGCACAGTAAGCGATGGTAAGGTAGGGCTGACGCACTAAGATATTCTATCGGTGTTGCCATTTTTGGTCTATGCTTTGGTGTTATCGTATGTGCCTTGACACTGTATCATCTTTTAGTATATATTTCATATTTTTTCCGAATAAACTTTCAGTTGGTAGTTAGCGCTTGTCCCTGTCTTTCCGTCTGCTTCTACGTTGTGCGCTTCCATTTCATAATTAGTCATGTATCACCAACTCGCCCAATCAACCATTTTGACAAGTCACTTATGAAGTCAGATCCGCTGGACACGTGAGTTCAAGACGCCGCAATCCCACGGAAGTGGTACACGCAGTCAGCATGAAGCCCTATCACGACAGATTGTCGAAAAACGAGTGAGAGTGCGCATGTATCTTTTCACTGTCTTAAGCATCGAGACGATGCGTCTGATGAGGGGGGTAATGCTGCGACAGGTTCGCCACGTTCAAGTAGCCCGCCACAATCATCGTGGTACCAGCACCAGCAAGACCCGGCTCGGCTGGCATGCGCCACGCGTTCGTGCGCTCCAACAACGAGGAAGAGGAAGATAGTTGGATCTGTGCCACTCGGCTACTCGGACTTGACGACCATAGTCTTTTGAATCGTGGGCACAAGTTCGCCCTAATAAAGACGCTTGTTTTTTAACCTGTCGGCCTCAGCATTGCTACAATATAAATAAGAAATAGTAGAGGCGCAAGGACTGAACCCTGCGGTACTCCCGAGTACACATGGAGGCTATCGAACATATCCGTGTTTACGGCTACACGTTGTGTTCTGTTCATTAAGAAGCTGGAAATCCACGAGATTAAGGTGTCATCAATACCAAAAGCCTGTAGTTTTGTGATTAAATATTCATGTGGGACCACGTCAAACGCCTTTGAAAAGTCTAAAAATATGACATCAACCTGACTTTTGGTATTAACAGCGTTGGCGAGGTCATTAGTTATTTCGGCCAGCTGTGTTAGTGTTGACAACCCAGATCTGAATCCATGTTGTTGGTTATAAATAAGGTTATTCCTTTCTAGATAACTGATAATAGATTTAAAAATTATGTGTTCCATCACCTAACAACATGTGCTTGTTAATGATACAGGTCTGTAGTTGCTTGGTTCAAATTTAGAGACAGATTTTACTAATGGATTTATTTTTACCCTGCGCCAGTCATCAGGAATACTCGAGGTATCCAAAGACACTTTAAATATTATAAGTAAATATTTTGAAATCCAGGCAGCATATCCTTTCAAGAATGCATTACAGATAGAGTCGGGACCAGTGGACTTCCTTAGGTCAAGGTTATTCAGTAAATTTAATATTCCTTCTTCACTTTTAAATAATTTTTCCGTAGGCTGCTCAACAGGATAGGCCGCCAGTGGCTCTTGTGAAGCAGTGTGTGTGAAAACTGACTGGAAGTAGTTGTTAAGCTGATTCGCAATGTCTTTAGGTTCATGTATTGGGCGTCACTTTCTATAACAACTCGCTCAATAAAAATATTCAAACACGTTCATCTTGCATCGGCATGCTTCTCAAAACATCGATTTCGAAGGTACGTGGGATCTGCTGAATGTTTTTCTCATTTGTTTCTTTTAAGCATTGTATTTATAGCTCAAAAAACGGGACGGGGCATTAAAATTTCATCCTTCCTGAATGTTCTGCCGCAGACCGCATTAAAATTGCATACTTTGCAACAAAACTACAGCCTAACAAAACCAGTCTGTTTAGAGAGCCGTATGCATGCATGGCTGCGTGCGGCGCCATTCATTGCGCATGTAGTCGGCTATGAAGAGCATGTTGGGAGCATGTTAAGCTGGCGTAGCGAACTGTTTATGGGTATAACCCTTCGAGAGTAATTGTTTTATTTTTCGTTACTTGCGATTGCGTCCATACTCGCGATTTGCACATGAGAATCACCCTCATCATTATCACCACTGAACTTCCCTTTTCATCCTGCTAAGATTTCTCTCTTTTTTTCCCAAACGCAGGGTGGTAAACCGGACTCAACCCTGGTGAAATAAGGCGCCCTTTATTACCTCTGTGTCTTTTGAACCGTAGATAACCAAGAGACTTGCATATGTGATTTTTTTTCGCTTTCCTTGCATGACGCGCATTTTATTCGAAACGCGCACGTTATGAGCCCACAGTACCGACGACGAATCTCGAATATGAATGACGCCACAAAGAATGAGAGATGAGGCATTTTGAGGGTTCGTTCCATAGGTTTTATTTTTTAATTGTGTTTATTGAATGCCTTGAATACGTAGTCTAAGCAGGAATGGCAATGAAAGTGGTACATAGATTGAACACGCCTGAAAAAAAAACACACACAAAACACCAAAATAATATTACAGGAAAAGAGTCAATATGGTTCAATATGGCTAGCTTTCGTTACTTCTGTGGGTTGATTCGGTTTTGAGAATTTGTTGAATGTAAACTTGACATGCTTTCGCTGCACTCTATTGGTATTAGTTTTAGCATACGGATCCCAATAAATACGTGAATATTCCAGTTTAGTTGTGATCAAAGTGTTATTAACAAAACCTTAATGAAAATCAGTAGATATTGAAGTAGAGGAACGTACAGGGTCCATATTTGTAGTGTTTAAAGGGTATTGTAGTTGAGATGAATTTGGTAAAAAACTAAAGTGCACAAAAGAGAACTCTCCGTCTGCACGGACTGAATCTGTAACCTTCCAATGACGCGCCTCTACCAATTGACCTATGGTGGTCGATTCGTCCACCTTAGCGGGTATTTGTGGGCATGCATGCAAACCTAAATGTGTTAGTCCGCGACGTTTGAACGGTGCTGACTAAAAGGTTGTGAGCTAAGTTCCCACTGGTGGCGTTTTTTCTTTGTGCACTTACGTTTCTTACCATATTTATCACAACTAAAATACACTTTGAACAGTACAAGTTCGTCCTCTATAGCTTCCATGGCTTCCTCATCTGTTGACTTTTGTTAAGGTTGAAGCATTAAAGGTGATGCATACATCTGTTTTCAGTAAAGTGATTGCACAATAAACAAATGTGTTTAGGCACACGCTTTTTTTTTGGTTAGGAAGATACGTTTATGTACACGGCTCGACACGCCGCAGGCCAGTCGCAGCGTTCAAAAAAAGTTTTATACTTTATCAAGGCATTTTACAAACATTAGGATGTGAAGGATGTTTCAAAAAATGTTAGGGAAACTTTGTAACTACAAAAAGAAAGGCTGAAAATATTGTGAGGCAGGACACACAGGAGAGGCGAAGGAAACCGTCAATGTGTTCAATTGTGCGCCGGCAAATGCCTATCGCGGCGTAAATGTCAACTTGTAGTGGTTAAGTTCAACGAGAGGAATATCAATAGAGTCAAGATCATGGATCTTCCCAACTTCGGGAAGGATTCGGTACTTCTGGAGAATACAGGTGATGTACAGAAATATCTCGACAGAGGCCAGGATCTCGCCAGGACACATCCGTTTACCTGGGCATAAAATAAAGAAAATTAGAGCGCTGCTGGCTGAGCGACTTGATCTCTTGGGAATGTGCTGAAAAAAAGAAGTCTTACAACGGAGTGCTGTAAACCGCATTAAAGATTGCGATGAAACGATTAAAATGCAACATTTTTTTTCAAATTCTTTCTGAAGTTGCCGTGCCATCTTTTGAACTGAGTGAGGCGATGTAAAAGCAGGAAATCAAAATCGGAAGTTAGTTAAGCCATTGTGAGTAGAAACTCGAAGATAACGCAACGACGAAAGTTGTGGCATATAGCTAAAGCAGAAGCGCAAATTTCGTTGTCTTATTTTTTTACATTGCAAATCAGTTCCGCGGAAATCCTCCAGGTGGCGGATGTGTTATAAAAAGGAAAGTTGACAAAAGTGCGTTTGTATAGAACAACACTACAATTAAATCTCTTCACACTTTTCAGGAGGAAATCCGACGAAAAATTCGTCCTACTCCTGGGACGAATTTAGTCAGCTTCGAACCGGAATGAACATTCCTTCGGTGCATTCGCATTATAAGCTGAGAGAGAGAGAGTAAAACTTTATTGAAGGGGAAAGGGAGAGGGGCGTTTTAGAGCCTTTATGGTTGGGGCCCTACGTCCAGGGCTCCACTGGCCTTAGCCGCCCGCCGGACTTGATCCAGTAGTGCGAGCTGCACTCCTGGGTCCGAGCTAGCGAGGTGTGCCTCCCACTGCTCCATACTAGGTGTTAAAGGTTCGCCGAGAAAATTGGTTATGTCGCTTGGTTTACGATCGCACCCCCACGATATGTGGTAGAGAGTCGGTCTTCCGCCGCACCACGGACATACAGCCGGGTAAAGAGTTGGATGTATCGCGTGTAACTTCAGTAGGTGCGGAAATACATCCGTTTGAATTTTTCTAAGGTCAGTGGCCTCTTCCCCATTAAGGGATCTGTGAGGTGTTCCACATTTTTGACGCGTGAAGCGCTGGTGAGCTAGAATCTCCCTAGGTAAAATTGGCATGGTCAATGAAAGAGATGGATTCTCCGCTCGGTTACAAAACGCACGAGCTAGAGCGTCCGCCCTTTCATTGCCTTCGAGACCTGCGTGTCCCGGGCACCAGATCAAGCGATGGTGGTGAGTGAGTTTGGATCCTAGCAGCCTCAGCCCCATTGCTGGAAGGCGGCCCCTTAAAAAGAGCCGGCAGGCTTCCTGGGAGTCGGATAAAATAACTGATGGCTCCCCTCTACGCTCCTGAAACCTTAAGGCTAAGGCTATGGCCATCGTCTCCGCCTTTGTAGCCGAGGTCGTGCGTACGGAGGCACTCGTTAGCAGCGTCATGTTGTTATCGACAACAGTAATTATGTGTCTCTGCCAATCGAAACTGGCCGCATCGACGTACGCGACATTGGAAGCTGAGCCGAATTGCTTTCGAAGCCAGTTTACCCTCGCAGTACGTCGCTCAGCGTGAAAGTCGTGATGCATATTTTTGGGCACCGGTGCGATTGAGATTCGCCTGCGAACCTCTTGGGCTACGTCGACCAGCTCCTCATCAATGTGCTGTGGGTGGGGCGAAATTCCTATTCTAGTGAGTATCGCCCTGCCTGCTGAAGTTTCACTTAGACGATTCCTCTGAGACATGAGGACTGCGGCACTGAGCTCAGCATAAGTGTTATGTATACCGAGAGCTAGGAGCCGCTCGGTCGGTGTGCTGGTGGGTAGACCAAGTGCTGCCTTAAAAGCGCTTCTAATGAGCACATCCACCTGGCTCTCCTCACTTCTGTCGAGTGAGTGGTACGGTAGGCCATACGTCACTCTGCTCAAAACTAAGGCCTGGACAAGCCGGAGAGTATCCTTTTCTTTCATGCCTTTTTTATGATAAGTGATGCGACGGATCATTCTAGCTATCTGTTTAACCGTAGTCTTTAAGGTGGTTATCGTGTGACTGGCTTTGCCATTGCTTTGGACCCAGAAGCCAAGTATACGGGCCTGAGTAACCTCGGCTATGGCATGGCCGTCTACCTGTAAGTTTATGTCACCGTTACTTTTGTAATACTTACTGTGTATTCTTATGAGTTCAGATTTTTCAGGCGCACAGCTCAGCCCACTATTTCTTGCGAACTCTGCCACAGCTGTCGCAGCAGCCTGGAGGGTCTGCTCTTTCAGCGCCAGTGAACCCTTCGTAGCCCAGAGTGTGATGTCGTCCGCATACAATGTATATCCAAGGTGCGGGATTGCTTCGAGCTCGTGAGCAAGTCTGCGCATAGCTATGTTAAAGAGCAAGGGGGAGATGACTGCCCCTTGCGGTGTGCCTTTATTTGGCATCGAGAACGGCACCGACCTCGTGTCGCCTATCCCAATAGTTGCCGTCCGCCCAGAGAGGAAGGATTTAATGTAGTTAAATGTACGCTTTCCGCAGCCGATTGTGTTGAGTTCAGAGAGAATGGCCTCGTGCGAAACATTATCAAAGGCCCCTTTGAGGTCGAGGGCCAAAACCAAATGTTCGCCTCCCCTGGGTACGCAACTCATGACCTCTTCTTTTAAAAGGAGGAAGGCATCCTGGGTTGAGAGTCCGGAGCGAAAACCAATCATGGTAGCGGGAAACAGATTTTCTTTTTCAATGTAATTTTGAAGCCGTGTCTGTACTACTCGCTCGTAGAGCTTGCCCATGCACGAAGTAAGCGAAATGGGCCGCAGGGCTCCGAGCGATGGTGCTTTACCGGGCTTTGGTATAGTTATTATTTTGGCTTCCTTCCACTCCGGAGGAACGTGACCTTGGGACCAGCAGTGGTCGTTAAGAAATTGCGTTATCTGCTCAAGAACCTCAGTGCTGAGGTTTCTTATCATAGCGTTTGTTATACCATCCGACCCCGGCGCAGAGTTCCGATTGGCTGCCTGGGCTGCCGCGAAAACCTCTTCTTTCGTGATTGCGGCGTCTAATGTGGCATTCTCGCTGCCGATGTACTCTAATGTACATGGCGGAACCACATCAGTACCGATATAACGGTCTTTAAGCGCCTGGATCAACTCTCCGTCGGTGCCGGGGTAGCTGTGTACTATTCTTTGAAGAATGCGGTTCATGGAGGACTTAGATTTGTCCGGCTCCAGCATGGACCTCAGTATCGCCCACGTCTGGCTAGTCCCTAGTGTACCGCGGAGAGAACCGCAAAACTGCACCCAACCATCGGTGGCAAGTTTCGTTGCGTATTCATTCGCTTCCTCCGACAGAGCAGCGATTCGCCTGTAGAGGCAGCGGTTGAGGCGTTGTTTTTTCCATCTCTTGATCAGGCGTCGCCTACTATCCCACATGTGCAATAGGTGCCGGTCTATCGCAGGCGCCTCAACTGTGCGCGCTATTTTCTTAGAGGTGGCATCATGCGTTTCTCGAATGAAAGCAACCCACCCACTGACATCACAGGGCGTTTGCTCCGGCAGAGGGCGCTTTCGAAAGGTCACCCAGTCTGTCATCACAACGTCCCCAGCGACACGACGAACTTTTGGTGATGCTATAGAGGTGCTAAGAATATAATGGTCACTACCAAGGTTTTCATCGAGGTTTGACCACGTGGCATTTTTAATGTTGAAGGTGAAGGTCAAATCAGGGTACGTGTCCCTGCTAATGCTATTACCAAGCCTGGTGGGTGCTGTTGGCAGAGTGATAAGGGTAAAACCTAATTTAGACGTGGTGTTCTCTAATAACACTCCCTTGGGTGAATCCCGGACGTAGCCCCAAGCGGTGCTCGGAGCATTAAAGTCGCCCACCACCACTAATTGATCTCTGGTGCCAACGGCTCGAACTGCCTCGTTTAGGAGTGGGCCGAAGTCGTCATTCCGGTTTTTGGGAGGACTGTATATGTTTAAAATTTTCGTTCGTACTTTTCCTCGTTTTTGTGGGAAGACATCGATAATTTGGTGATTAATGTCAGTCTGTTCGTAATGGTCTAGCGCAACTGTCATGAAGTTACTCACCAGCGCTGCAACGCGGGGGTATTTTGGATCGTATAATGTGTAATATCCCTGCAATTTGACGGGACGGTTCCCAACTTCTTGCAGGCATATTACATCAGGTGGGATTAGTGCCGAATGGATGTAATTCTGCAATGCCGCCGCTCGTTTGTGGAACGTGCGACAATTCCACTGCCAGATTTCTAGGTGGTCGGAGTTTTGCGTGGAATTAGTTCGCGCCATGGTGACTACTGCCTTTATTGGGGGGTGTCTGCTTTCTCCGTGATTCGACGGTCCTTCGGTAGTGGACTGCTCGCGGAGGTAACACTGACCCGCTTGTTGATGGCACGCTGAATGCCTACAACTGAGTCATTAACGTATCGTCTTTGTTGTTCCGTTTCTGCTGCAAACTCTTTCCTGTACTCCGAAAACATTTGATGCATTTGCTGCATCATCTGCTCTCGGAGTTCAGACGCTGCTCGTTGCTGTTGTGATTGGAGTTCTCGCATTAAGTTTCGCAAGCTCTGCAACTGTTCCCCCATCTGTAACTGGCTAACGTGGGCCTCCTCGCTAAACCTCTGAGGTATGTCTACTTTCGCCGTTCCTCCCTCCAAAGAGTGGGCTACGGTTGCCCTGGAGATAGCATGAGTGGCGTTGTTGTTCGCCTCTAAGGCGTTAAGCCTGGCTTCAAGTTTGGTTTCTAAAGATGATATGATTTTGTGGAACTCCCGGCGTTCCTCCTTAATCTGGCATCGAAGTTTCTCGTTTTCTAAAGCAAGCTGCTTATTCTCGGCAACCATTTTCTGATATTCGGGATTCTCAGTTAAGGGAGCAGATGGAGACACAATCCTCGTCCAGCTCACCGTGTTTGCTGGCTGGCAGGCGGCTGCCTCCGTCCCCTCTTTGGGCGGCGTCAAGATTTGTACCAGCGCTTTCTTCTTCTGCTGCTGATGCTGCTGCTGTTGCTGCTGCTGCTGTTGCTGTTGCTGTTGCTGCTGTTGCTGCTGCTGCTGCTGTTGTTGTTGCTGCTGCTGTTGCTGCTGTTGGTGCTGCTGCTGATGCGGCTGTTTGTTGAGT